TTGTATTTTAGAGACCACCATAAAGAACAGCTCTTTTATATACATGCAGCAACCAGAAAGCACAAAATATTTTCAAAAACCTAACTGGCTTTAAACATAAGTTTGGTATAAAAAACTCTCTGGAGCTTGCAGAAAAAACAAAAAAAATGTATCGACAATTTTGTAACTTTTCTAAATCCACAAACCAGATTTATTACATTTACTACGGAATTTGGTGAAAACGGAAACGTTAATTTTTTGGACATAAATATTGACATAACGGCATACATTCCTTCAAAATCTTCAGAAACCCGATTTGTAATGACACCATCATACATGTTTCTTCAAGACTCCAATATCTCACAAACTTGCTGTGTTCCATAGTTTGTTACATAGACTTATCACTGTACCCTTGTCATCTGAAGATTATGAAACTGAATTAAAAACTACAAATCAAATTGCTGTTAACAATGGTTATACAACAAAGTTAATTAACGCATTGTTGTTTAAAAACTTGAAAGCCAAAAATTTTAAATCAATATACCCATATACTGTACCAAACAGCAACAAAAAGAAAGAAAAAGGCATACTAGAAACTACTATAAATTACAACCTACTTATATAACCAGCAACCCGCGTGTCTAAGTGTATCCTACAAAGTACTATAAAGTAAAACCCAAGCTTGTCTCAGTGTATCCTAAAAACTGCCATAATATAACGTCCCAGTTTGCTCCTCAAGAATAAAGATTCTCTTCTTGAAAGCACTCGTGATATGTGGTACAGTACGTTTTTCTTAAGTTGATTTCTTGAACCTACGTGTTTTCCTAAGATCATGAAAGTACAATCCGTTTATATATCGAGTAACAAGAGTGTCTAAGAGTATCATAGAAAGAACAATCAACTTAAGTATCCAATAACAACGAATTTAGGAGTATCCTAGAAACTACTATAAAGTACAATCCGTTTATATATCCATTAACAAGCACGTTTAAGTATATTTACAAAGTACTATAACTTACAACCGTACAAGTTAGTCTAAGTTTATCCTAGAAAGAACAATAAAGCACAACCCATTTGATATATCCAGCAACAAGCATGTCTAAATCTATCCTAAAAACTACCATAAAGTACATCCTTGTTTGCCCCTGGAGAAGAAAGATCCACCTTTCCAAAGCCGTACGTTTCTGTTAAATTTCATGAACCTATATGTTTTTCTAAGATCATGAAAGTACAGCACATTTATATATCACAGTAAGAAGAGTATCTAAAACTACCCTATAAGCTACTATACAGTGCAATCCATTTATATATCCAGCAACAAGAGTGCCTAAGAGTGTCCAAGAAAGAACAAGCAACTTATGTATCCAGTAACAGCATGTTTTTGAGTATACTATAAACTACAATACAGTACAATCCATTTATATACCAAGGAACAAGAGTGTGTAAGATTATCCTAGAAACTATAGTAAAGTACAGCACATTTATATATCAAAGTAACAAAAGTATCTAAGACTATCCTATAAACAACTATAAAGTTAGACCCATTTATAAATCTAGGAACAAGCATGTCTAATTGTATTCTAGAAACTATTATAAAGTACAACCCATTCGTATATCCAGCAATAAGAATGTCTAAGAGTGACATAGCTAGAAGAAGCAACTTATGTATCCAGTATTGATGAAAAAGCGTGTTTAAGTGTATTCTATAAAATACTATAAAGTACAATCAGTTTATGTATCCACAACAAGCGTGTGTAAGTATATTCTAGAAAAAAACATGAACTACAACCCATTTATAAATTCAGCAACAAGCGTGTCTAAGTGTAATTTGAAACTACCATAAAGTCAACCAATTTATTTATCTAACCAGAAGCATGTCTAAGTGTATTCTAAAAACTACTATAAACCATTTATATATTTAGCAACAAGCGTGTCTAAGTGTAATTTGAAACTACCATGAAATCAACCAATTTATTTATCTAACCATAAGCATGTCTAAGTGTATTCTAAAAACTACTATAAAGTACAAACCATTTATATATTCAGCAACAAGCGTGGCTAAGTGTATCCTAGACAGTACTATAAAGTACAACACCTTTACATCTTAAGAAACAAGCGTGTTTAAATGTATCCTAGAAATTACTATAAAGTCCAACCCATTTATAAATCAAGCAACAAGCGTGTCCAATTATATCCTAGAAACAACCATAAAGTACAACCCATTTATTTATGCAGCAACAAGAATGTCTAAAAATATCCTTACACTACTATAAAGTACGACACATTTAATATATCCAACAACAAGCATGTTTAAGTGTATTCTAGAAACTATTATAAAGTACAACCTATTTACATATCCAGCAATAAGAGTGTCCTAGAAAGAGCAATCAATTTATGTATATTGTAACAGTATGTCTAAAAGTATCCTAGAGGCTACATAAAGTACGACACATTTAATATAACCAACAACAAGCATGTTTAAGTGTATTCTAGAAACTATTATAAAGTACAACCTATTTACATATCCAGCAATAAGAGTGTCCTAGAAAGAGCAATCAATTTATGTATATAGTAACAGTGTGTCTAAGAGTATCCTAGAGGCTACATAAAGTACGACACATTTAATATATCCAACAACAAGCATGTTTAAGTGTATTCTAGAAACTATTATAAAGTTCAACCCAATTATATTTCCAGTAACAAACGTGATTCAGTATGTTCTAAACATACAGATGATTTACAAGTCCAGCAACAAAGTAGTGCTTATAAAAGTAAAAATGTCTAATTTCAATTTATGATTATTGACGTTGTCCTTTATGTTTTCAACGATACATGTTCTCCAGGACAACTGTGTATAGACTGTATTTTTACAGCGAGAGGCGTAACCTGAAAAGTTGGTGATAGTAATATATTCATTGAATTGAAATTATTCCTGATATGTAAAAGAGATTAATGTCTTACATCAAGAAAAAACTAAATGAAAAACAGATAAAGGTTTGAATTGGATTGTCAAACCCTGTATGATTATAACAATTATTTATAGCAATATTTATTATTAAATATAGCAATAATTATTATTAAATAGACTGTGTTAATAAAAACGTTTACATTTACAAAACAATTCATTCCAGATCTACCTAAATTTTAATCTATAAAACTATTTTGCAAATTTAACGTTAAAGGAACAATAATTAATCCAACAAATAAGTAAACTTAAGGCTATATAAACGTGAAAAAAGGGATTCACGTTTTTTTTTTATGAGATCACGGATACTGATGTATTTATCACATATTATGAATAAGTGCGGGAAAGATTTTTCAGGACTCAAAAACTTCAAAATGACTGAATTAAAAACAAATGTTTCATATAAACGGATCAACTATCTTTTATGTATAACGAAATAAATGCCGAAAATATCACCTTAGTTTTAGTGGCGATCACCAGAGAGCAGTACAACACCTTTGTGATGTTTCAAGATATGTTAAAATTCAGTGAAGATAAGTTCAACTAAATTAAGAAATATAAAAAAAAGTATTTCAGTAGATCAAATAGTAAGTAATTCTTTCAATAAAGATTAATTTAATTCTATATTGTCAATGATGCTTTTTTGGGGGGTTATTTACAAATATTAGAAATCACCTTAAACTGTTAGTGTGTTATATTCTGTATTACATTTTTGCGATTATTTTATTACTAGTGATAAATGGTAATTCGTATTTTAGTAAGACAGTATAATTCTTTATATCTTTCTTTAATGATCTAATAAATATTTCTAATATGAAGAACGCCCATGCAACTCCACTATACTATCTGATCTGCGTTGGCTAGATGTGGCCATGTGATTAATGTGTCGGGCTGCTTATCGAAAGGCTAACAGTTAGAGATGTTATTCCTCTGGAAACACTCGCACATTTAGCTGTGGGATCGTTACCAATGTGACCAATCCCGTTATTCGATTCAAAGAGCCAGATAAAAAAGCTCTTGTGGTATCTGGTTCTACTGGCTGCCTGCCTTCCTTCTGATCAATAGTTCAAAATTAGGTTTGGCTCTACCTTAACCCTAGGGGTTCTTGACTTGTGTGTATAAAGTTCTGTTCAGGTTGAAAACTGCAATTCTTGTTGTAGTTTATTACCAAGAATTATTTTTACTCAATGTCAGAATTCATTAGAAGGATGCGATTAAAATTATGTTTAATTTTATGTTGATGTAATATCACCTATTATCAACTGCTGGATTTATTCTATAAACCATAACACTAATAATAGGTAGGAAACAACTATTTATAAGCATAAGGAAGAATTTTGTTGCTGGCGACACATATAACATGTTTCATAGAACATTGTGACACCATCAATAATATTCTTCCTTATGCTTATAAATTGTTGTTTGCCTACCTATTATTATATTAGCATAATGTGCTTCCTTATTCCAAAATCATAACATTTTTAGTTTTATTTCTTTTGATATACATATATCTATATCACAATTATTATTCTATAAGTCAAACAAAGAGATCTGTTGATTATTTTAAGTGTACCAATACGAACTTCTGCGTGAAAGTAGAGTGTATACTAATATTTTAACTACACTGTTCGTTTATTATATTAATCAGCAGATTGATATATATACATTTGAAAGATATACTATTTTTTAATAATAATAAAAATAATCTATGAACAAAAGACACAAGTTATTTTATCCAATTTTGTTATTGAACCATAAAATAAATGGCATATTACAGTTCTTGTAAAAAAAGTAGCAAATCAAGTTACTTGTATAACGTGCAGAATGATAAAAAACTAACTCAAAAGCAAATCTTAAAATTTATATTAATCTAAAAATTTTAGAATAACAAAGAGTTTATTTATTTCAAGTTAGTCAAATATAAATATAAAACATTGCGTTACGTATTATATACATATGTATTAAACTAGCAAAATTAAATTATTACATTTCATCCACATATGAAGGAAAGGCAGGCTGAAATTTTTATATTTCAAAAAAATATTTGTCATTTTAGGTTAACAGGTAAGTATTTGAGATTTTCAAATCTGAACTGCATTTTATGCAACACAGGAGCTAAACGGCCAGGTTTAAGCATACTTATCTTTAATTTAGAACTGCTACTTCTACGTCGGTCTTCGTCAGTAGCACACGCCGTCTGTGAGGCTACTCTCAGTCAAATAGTTGGGTTGAGAGTCACTGTTATAGCTTCCCGAAGCTGAAATTGCGAAGCATGTTCAATATAAAATAGCGATTAGAGCCTTGTGCCTTCCAGTCCACATCCTTAACCACTAGGTTTCGTCCGGCCCAGATGTACAGCAACAAAACAAAACTGTTAATTTGGAAGCTCGGGTACAACCAAATACTCAGATAGCCAACGATAAAGAATAACTAGAGGGGGGGGGGAGAAAGAATGGGCGGCAACATCAAAAATGTGAACAATCTCAGAAATAGGAAAAGGTTTTATTGAAAAGGTGTGACGTAACTTACTGAGAATCATATTGTTGTATTTTTTCGTACTGTCTCCAATTTCGAAGTTGTAGTATTCTCAGACGAAAATGGAAAACAATTTATTAGTTCTTTATGTATGTGGGTCTCACACTTGTAATTTAAAGTCGATATGGAACGTCAGTTCAATGAATTGTTTTGGGACAGAAACAACTATAGGGATAACATTGGATTGAATAAATAAGAGTAGTGGATGTTGCTTTTTTGTAGTTTGTTATGTATATTTTTACTTCAAATGCATAATAAAATAATAAAATATAATAACCGTGTGCGTCATCACATAAATTTAAGTTTATTGTTAAGCCTAACAAAAAAACTTCTTTTCTTCTGACAGCGACCCCAAGTATCGGAGAAGTGAACCAGCTAGGAGGCGTGTTTGTTAACGGCCGACCACTTCCCAATGCTGTTCGACTTCAAATCGTCGAACTTGCAAAACTGGGAGTTCGCCCATGTGACATCAGCCGCCAGTTACGTGTGTCCCACGGCTGCGTCTCAAAGATTTTGACTCGCTATCACGAGACAGGTTCCATTTTGCCAGGAGCTATCGGTGGCAGCAAACCTCGAGTCACCACTCCTAAAGTTGTAGCCTACATTAAGGACCTGAAACAAAACGATCCGGCTATTTTTGCTTGGGAGATTAGAGAGCGCTTGTTGGCTGACGGGTTGTGTGACAAGCACAATATTCCTTCTGTCAGCAGTATCAGCAGAATCCTGAGGAATAAAACTAGATCGTTAACCTGTTCTCTGAATCCTCGCTACCTTTATGAAACGTCTAAGGCAACCAGACTTTTATATCATCCTTTTTATCCTCATACCTATTCTTCCACCTCACCAACAATAACCTCTTTGGCTTCCAGCTACTCTGCTCCACCAGTGAAGAATATGACATCAGTAGAGTTAGCTAGCCCTCCCACAACCTTTGCTTCAGTATGTGGTTGGCCCATGCCTCACTCCGTATCCTCCCTTCTTGGTCATCAGGTGTCTTTACAATCCGGGTCACTCCACAGAAGAAATATGTTCTCAGATAACCAATTTAGTAATCCCGTCCAACCGTGTAACACAGATGGTCAGAACAACTACAACAACTATATGTACACTCAAACTTTGCACAACACCTATCTTGATCCTTTTCCCATTCCGATGCCTGATGCAAACAGTCCCATGATTCAGAAGCCCAGCTCCTGTACAAATTATTAAACTCAATAGCAATGTTGTTTGGAATATGTTCCGTAGTTCAACCTTTAGTCACGTGAAAATTTGTGTTTTATCTAATTTTTTGTAAATTTTATTTTCCGTAAACCTATTAATTAGATTATTATGCGCAGTATCTTTCTCTCATATTCTTCTATTCTTCTCCCCTTTCGAGATGCTCAGAAAACACAAAATTTTTGGCTTCCCATTATTATAAAGGTCGAGTCATAACCAACCTTTATACCGTACTTATTTGTATCTTGGTAGTGTCCTTCCCACTTCTAAGGTTTGACAACTTTTTGTTTTTTGCATTGTTCTATATTCAACGCTATCTGCATCAACTTTCATAATTCAAGTTTCTCATCTAAAAATCATTTGCCAATGCCATCAAGCCAAGTGAGGCTCTGTTTGCTTCTCGCTCTTCTTCCTTCAATTTTCCCCATCACAATCTCTTCCAACCTTCCCTCAGATCTAATTGTTTGTCCTAAGTAGAGCATCTTCAGTTTCTTACACATATATAGCAGTTGTATTTTTATACCCTTTATTGAAAATAGGGAAAAGGTGCTATGATCAAACGTCAAATAGATAACATCATAAAAATATTACCAAAAAACATCAGATACTAGTTATATTTGTGTACATTATTCTCAGACTGTATTTTTTATTCTGAAAGGGTTTTTGTTTCATGTGCAACTTTTCAAAGTTTAAAAAAAAATCGAGCAAGTTTTTGATTTGGAAATTCAGTTCAATACTTGCTCTAAAGTTTTGATATAGCAGTACTTTTAATAAATATCGTATTGACGCATATAATTAATTTTATTCAATAACAAAATAAAGATTTTAATAATGGAAAACTCAATTTTTGACACTCTGTTGTATTTAAAAATTATTGGAACTAATAAAACGCAAGACATTTTATAGTTAACTAAAAATAAAGTGTAATCTTAGTTAAACTAGAGTCCTTTGATTTTTATTGCACAACACCAGCCTAGTAAGAGTGAAGAATATATCGAAGAGATATCGACGTCGTTACTTTAGTACGACTGAATTCGGCAACATTCTATTTTTAATGCAATACCGGTTTTTTAACAACAAAAAACGTTATAATTCTGTATGTCGGGTTTCAATGCAATTGAGTGCTCATAAATATTGGGCAATTTTAGGTTCAAGCACAATAGTGATATTTCTGATCTTGAGTGACATGCATATAAAGTTGTGTAAAATCGTGTATTTATAAAAGGGGAAACAACCTTTCTAACCGTGGTGTATAAAATGAGTAAGTCCATTTTTTATGGAATAGCGTTTCAATAGCTTTAGTAAATTTATGCTGGTGTAATATTATTTTAGGTTCAGTTACGTTTAACAGCATTAACACTATACAATCTTTTGTTAGGCTAGCTGTGAGAGAGTTGCAGGACATTATCTGTTCAGATGGTCTTCCAGAAGATTTCTTAACTAATTATACTGTACTTACAAGCTATATATTTTGGTATCATCCGTGACTTTCTTTGTTTGTTTGTTTGTCAACCACAAAGCTACACAATGGGTTATCTGTGCTGAGCCAATCACAGGTATGAAGCCTGATTTTTGGCGTTATAAGCCTTCAGACTTACCACTTTTGCACTGGGGGGAGCTAGATTTTGGCGTTCTCTTAAGTGATCGCAATACAGTGTGATTCAGAAGTTCATTGATATTCATACAATTCAGCAAGGTAAAGATATAGGAAAATAATTTTTAGCAATATGGAATAAAGTATTGTGGGCCTACCCTATATCAACATCTTCAAGGTTATGCCTTTTGAATTTTTATTGATTTGCATCATTTATCCAAAATATCAATGGGAAATATTTAGACAATAACATATGAAACATTTAAGCCAAAATGATCCCAATCGCACCTCAAAAACTACTATTATAGACTTAAATGCACCCCTTCCAAGCATATGGAGTTGTGCCACAGCAAATCGAAACCCCACCATAGCAAACGTTAATACACAAACATAAGCTAGAAGTGCAAGGTCAGAATTTTGCATAAGTAGATCATTACACATTTGAAAAGCACAAAGGGAAAAAAGTATTAAAATAAAAAGTCCCTCATGTAAGATATATAAACTACTGCCAAATCATCTACATAAGAGCACAGTACTCATTTGAAGAACAGTTTAACATGGTTCTACTCTATGGAGAGTATGTCTAGGCTGCTGTCAGATTGTGCCCCCTAGTGACACAGCGGTATGTCTGCGGACTTACAAGGCTAGAATCCGTGGTGGGCAGAGCACAGATAACCCATTGTGTAGCTTTGTGTTTAATTACAAAACAAGCAAACAAACAAACAAGCTGTCAGAGTGTATACCAAACGATATCCAGCTATTGATTATTACCATCATTTCGTACTACTGTTAGTACTGGCTTTTACCTCATATGCATTTATACATATAACTGTTGCTGCTGTTGTGGAGGGCTATAAGTAAAATTTGGTTTTAAACGTTTCATTTCTTGTTATCTAAACTTTTGCAATTAACAGTTTTAGTATATGATGCATATCAATAAAAGTTTCAAAAGACATGACTTTGAAGTTGACCTTGAATGGCCTTAACAATAGTGTCACAAAGTAGGCCCACAGCTTCTCGTTCCACACCACTAACAATAAAAAAAAAACTTTAAGGTTAATGCCACAGAGTTGAATTTTAATCATAGTGAAAATATGTGTTTTGCATGTTGTGTTTTATCCAAAATTCTAAGTTTACGTATGAATACAAGTTTTATACACGTACTCGTAACGTCTTTAAAATATTGATCTAACAATCGAATTCAACAACTAAAGAAAAACGAAACACCGGCATACCAAAGCAAGACAATCTGGCAATTGTCGAAGGAAGGTGGCGTGCTTGTTTTGTTCCGTTAAACAGCATTATTTTTGATAATGTCTCTAGTTGATCCATATATTGGGATTATTATTATTCCGAAGAAATGGGTATTTATTCCCACCACACAGTTTATCTCAGAAGTTTTTAATTGTGATATAAAATTTTGTTCAATTACAAGTCAATACTTTATTCCAGCTAGACATTCTAAAAAACGTCTTTCAAGTTTTTGTAGAGAATTTTAAAATTAAATTGGATTGATGTGAAATATACATCTCTTGAAAACTAAGAGAAGCTATAGCTAGTGTAAGACTCCAAATTGTGATGTTGAATAATATAATATTTATCGGCAAATTGTGACCTGATAAATATTATATTATTCAACATCAGAATTTGCTGATAAATATTATATCATTCAACATCACAATATGCCGATAAATATTATATTATTCAACATCACAATATACCGATAAATATTATATCATTCAACATCACAATATGCCGATAAATATTATATTATTCAACATCACAATATACCGATAAATATTATATCATTCAACATCACAATATGCCGATAAATATTATATCATTCAACA